AGGTAGAATAGGCCCAGCTTCATTATTCAACTTGAGGGATATACCTTGACTGATCTTGGTCAGTTGAAAAATCCTTTCTGTCTCCCTCATTCCTTGCCAGAATGATTGGGTTAGCTCATAGCATTCTGTGGCCAAGTAAATTGGTTCAGGGGTGTCCTTAGTGTGAAGTTCAAAACTATCACCAGAGGATAGTGTGGTATGCTATATATAAAACTGGGGGACCAGGCACAGGGGCTTACATCTGTAATCCTAGCACTTTGGGAAGTTGAGGCAGTAGGATCACTTGAGGCTAGGAGTTCAAGACAGCCCGAGCAACATGGTGAGACCTCATATCTACTAAAACTAAAAAAAAAAAAATTAGGTGGCTCACGCCTGTAATCCTAGCACCTGGAGGCCGAGGTGGTGGATTGCTCAAGGTCAGGAGTTCGAAACCAGCCTGAGCAAGAGCGAGACCCTGTCTCTACTAGAAATAGAAAGAAATTAATTGGCCAACTAATATATATAGAAAAAATTAGCCGGGCATGGGGCGCATGCCTGTAGTCCCAGCTACTCGGAGGCTGAGGCAGCAGGATGCTCGAGCCCAGGAGTTTGAGGTTGCTGTGAGCTAGGCTGACGCCATGGCACTCATTCTAGCCTGGGTAACAAAGTGAGACTCTGCCTCAAAAAAAAAAATAAAAAATAAAAAAATAAAATTAGCTTGGCACAGTGGTGCACGCCTATAGTCCCAGCTACTCAGGAGGCTGGGGTGGGAGGATTGGTTGAGTCCAGGAATTTGAGGTTGCAGTGAGGTATGATGACACCACTGTACTCTAGCCTGCATGACAGAAGACCCTGTCTCAAACAAAAAAAAACCTCAGCCCCCTGCCCCCTGGACCTATTGAACAATTTTGTGTCTGGTAGACAGCTTCTAAGATGGCCCTCAATGGTTGCTGCCTCTTAGTATTCATGCCTTATACAACTTTCTCATCGTGAATGTGGGCTGGACTTAGTAATTAGTTTCTAACTAACAAAATATAGCAAAAATGATGGGACATCACTTCTGAGATTAGTTACAAAGAGACTGTGGCTTCCATCATGGGTATCATCTCTCACTTGTGAGGGAAGCTACATGCCATGAGCACTATAGAGTTGCTCATGTAGCAAAGAATTAGAGGAGGTCTCTAGATAACAGTCAGTGAGAAGAAACTGAGGCCCTGAGTTCAACAGCCTGAGAGGAACTAAATCCTGCCAATAATCACATGAGTGAGCTTGAAAGGAGATCTTCTTCCAGTTGGGCCTTCAGGTGACATCATAGTCCTGGCACATAGCTTAACTGCAACCTCATGAGTGACCCTGAGTCAGAGGCCCCCAGTTCAGCTGTGTCCAGATTCCTGACTCACAGAAACTGTGAGATAAAAAAAGTGTTTGTTCTTTTAAGCCACTGTTTTGGAATAACTTGTTAGTAGCAAAAGATAACTAATATGCCACTATCATAACAAAAGTTAGTTGGAGCTGGATTTTTCCTGTTACTTGAAACTGAAAGCATATTCACCTATACTAACTAGTAACCTTGAAATGGTTACTAGACATTAAAATCTTTAGACTTAAATGAATTTACCACGGTTTACCAAAATCATGCAAATAGAAAAAAGTCTACCTACTCACAACCATCTTTATTTCTCATATGGAAAATTATGTAGTAAGGCTGCATTTATTCATAATCCCTTATAATACTGACCAAGGTTTATCTTTGATTACTTAAGCAAATGAACAATATAAATAAACAATTATCACAGGGCAATTGTTAAGTCCACTTAAAACATCTATTGTTGAAAGTCCTTAAAACCACTTTAACATCATCTGTTTACATACAAGTTTAAAATATGCTAATTAAAATAATTTTGTAATTTTTATTTACTTATTTTAATTTTACTTTTTTTAGAGACAGGGTCTCTTTATGTTGCCTAGACTAGACTTGAACTCCTACCTCAGCCTCCTGGGTAGTGGGGACTACAGGATACACCACTATGCCTGGCTTAAAAATGATTTTTAATTGATATCTAAGCAGGTCTAGAAGAAATTCTGGCTAGGCACTGTTTGCTCTTGGTTTGTCTGAAAAAGAAACCTTTTAACTATAAGGTGTCATGAGCTAAGGGGTATGATTAATTTAAGTCTCTGGACCTAACATTAAATGAAACAAAAAACTTCTTTCTCACCATATTTGCTAAGGGCCTTTGAATGTTATGCTTATTCAGGCCAGCCTGAGCTCACCCCCTAAGTAAAAGCCTTTGCTTTACAGAGTCCTTAGGGTAGCAGGATCACTTGAAAAGACCACTGGGGATAAACTGGAAGGCAGTTACAGTGCTAATTCCTTACATTCTATTTTCTAGCAGGTCTAATAAAGGGATGCTGTTCTTTCTTATCTGGTAAAATAACTCTCTCAATTATCCTTCCTGTATATTTAAAGATTTGCTTAAAGATTGTTTTATAAAAATTCAAATAATGAAAATAAATATTACATGATAGATATCAAGTATGCTTCTGTGAAGTAGGTGGGATTAGAAGCAGAGGTGAAGGGGAATTTTCCTTTTTTATTATATATACAATTCTGTATTGCTTATTTTATAACACATTTATATTGTGTTTATCATTTAAAAGGTAAAGTTAAGGGGGAAAAAAAAAAAGAAAATGCACCTGAGAGGATCTCGTTTGTGGTTAAGGATGTATTTCCTCAATTATAACATTAAATCAATACCTATCTGAGCACTTGGGACTGTGTGAAATGAGAATTAAGGTAGGAAGAGATGGAGAGTTATGATTAAGGCAGGACTAGGGAGGGAATACTCTGATGGGCAGTTCTGAAAGAGGCAAGGACTTGGGATAAGAGGAGAGGGCTATGTATCTGGGAGCAGGGTTAGGATTCAACAAAGCCAGACTCTATTAATAAATTCACTTGCTTGTCTGCCCATAAGATGACTAAGGTATTGGCTGGGTACGGGGTTATTTCATTGAAGGGACAGTAGGATGAGGATGTTCACAATAGATCACTGCAGGAGCTGGAATGAAGTAAATTACTACTTCCTTTGAAGAAACGTATCACATGGGACATGTAGGATGGCCAGGCTTGAGTTTGACACTGATAATGGGGAGTTTCCTGGAGTGCAAGAATCAGAGATGTTATAGCCTACAAAGGAGGAATAGCAACAAGGATGGGGTGCAAAGTAAGAGTAGCAGGAAGTGACTGAAGCAGCTGAGAACTAAGGGATAGATATCATGTCTTTCCTTAGCAAGCGGAGGGCACCCTGAGGTCTGTATTTGGTTTTTAAAATTTCCAATATGAAAAAAAGAATCCACACAGGCAACAGATGATGAAAAAACTATAGTAAAACAATCCAACTTACCACTCTGGTTAACAGCTGGTTCTAAATACAATAGTTAAACTTTCAAGGTCTTCATTCGTTAAATGTAATTCTTCAAGCAGGGTGGCTATAAACTGTGTAAACATCACGTTTTCCTGAGAATGCTTCTGAATGCAAGAGTCCGGGGTCACATCTGAAAAAACGA